CAATACTTGTATGGATAAAAAGACTCTGTAATCACCTGGAAGGGGCGGTGTGTATTTGGGAGCAATCCCGCACGCTGCCCGGCGTCGAATAAACATACACTTGCTAACTTTAAACTGTTAGAGAGTTTTTGTCCGTCACAATTGGATATCGATACTAGATCAATATCCATATTTTTTTAATAAATCACAAACGCTGCTGGTGGATGATGGCCTCAGGCTGGAAAAGAGGGAGGAGATTTGGGGTGGCTTGGACATACCTGGCAGCTGTGCGGGAGCTCGTGGAGGTCAGAAACAGGGATTGCTGTCAGAGCCGCTCTGCAAAGGGCCGTGCCTCCATTCCCAGGTGATGCCAGCCGTTCCCTGGGGTCTCTCTGGGCTGTCGGTGCCGTCTGTCCGGGCTGAAGCATCCCTGCGTGCCTGTGGGGAGCAGCCCCCGGCCGAGGAGCCACGGGCAGCCCTTCAGCCGTGTCCGTGCCAGCGCTGTCCGGTGCCGCGGTGCCCGTGCCGGGCCGTGCGTTGGGCACGCTGCGAGCCACGGGCCGGGCACGGCAGCTCCCGCCCTGCGGAGCCAAGGACCGGAGGCGCTCTCTGCCCTTCGGGGGCTCCGGGCTCCTCCAGCCCCGCACCGGGCGCAGCCGGAGCGGCTCCTCCCGCCCGCGGCGATACCGGTCCCGATCCCAGCCCCGATCCCGCCTCGATCCTCCGGCCCCGGCACCCCCACCCCGCCCGCCGAGGAAGGAGCGGCTCTGCCCGGCTCCCACAGCAGACACCGGCGGGACCGGGACCCAAACCCCCGGGCCCGGATCCCAGTCCCGGTCCCACCTGAGCCCGTCGGACGCCGCACAGCGCCGGGAGCAGCCCCGATCCGATCTCCGCACGGCGCTCCGAGCGCCGGTCCCGCCGCAGCCCGGGCCGAGCATCCCCCGCAGAACGTGAGGCGGGCGCGGATCCGCCGCCATTTACGGGCGGGGGGCGGGGCCGGGGGCGGGGCCAGCACAGGTGCGCGCACAGGTGCGCGGGGCCCCAGCGCGCCTGCGCGGGGCGGGGCCGGGGGGATTTAACCCGCGGGGAGGGCCGGACAGAGCTATTTGCTGCTCGGCGCTCGGAGCGGGAGGTTGCGGCCGGCCGGGCCCCTTTATCTCTTCTTCTCTATATTTCTTTTCTTCTGTGTTTGTTTTCTTTTGCGTTTCTTTTTCTCTATACCTCTCCTGTCTACCCTCCCTTCCTCCCCTCCCCCACCCCCTACACCCTCCCCCCCCCAAACCCCCCCCCTCCCTCTCCCCCCTAGCCCTCCCCTCCCTCCCTCCCGGGCGGTCCCCCCTACACCCCTTTCCCTTTCCTCCCTCTCTATTCCCCTACTCACCCCTACCCTGTTCCTCCATCCTGTCCCTCTTCCTTCCCTCCCCAGCCGGGCTCCCCCGCGCCCCCTTTCCCTGCTCCCCTTCCCCCCTCCACGCGTTCGGCCTCCTTCCCCAAACCTGCCTTCAATCCTTCCTTTCCTTCCTCCACCCTGCCTTCCCCCCAGCCCCCTCCCCGACTGCCCCGCACACCCCGACCTCTCTCCCCCTGCCCCCTGTCCTTGTCCCCTTCCCCTCGGCTGCCGCTCTGCTCCCCTGTTCTCGTTCCCCATTCCCGCTCTCCTTCTTTCCTCGCAGCCGCGGGGCTCGGGGCGCCGGAGAATAATAAAGCCCAGAGGGCCGGAGCCCGGCGCCCCCCGCCCTCGCTGGGGTCCCCACACGGGGCAGGAGCCGCTCTGCGGGTCCCCCCATTGCAGTGCAACACACTGGCCGACACTGCCGGGGCTCCGGCTTTCCCGACATCACACTGGGGGGTCCGGCTGGGGGGCAGGGAGGGTCCTGGGGGGTTGGGAGGGGGGTGAGGAAGGGCCCCCTCATTAGGAGGGGGCTCTGGGGGGGGGGGGGTGGGGGTTAGGAAGGGCCCCCTCCGGAGGAGGGGGTCCCGGGGGGGGGGTCAGGGTGGGCCCCCTCCGGAGGGGGGGGTCCGGGGGAGGGGGGCGGGGTGGAGGGGGGGACTTCCCCCCTCCAGCCTCTCCCCCTCCCCGGGACCCCCTCCTCCGGACGGGGTCGGCCCCGGCCCCCTCCCGGGGACCCCCTCCTCCGGACCGGGGCCCGGGGGGGAGGGGGGGGAGGGAGGGAGGGTGGGGGGGGCGGGGGGGGGGGGGGGGGGGGGGGGGTGGGGGGGCGGGGGGGGGGGGGGGGGGCGGGGGGGAGGGAGGGTGGGGGGGGGAAGCAGAGGGGGTCACGCCACTATGCAGCATTAACAGACGTTACAAAAAAAAAAAAACACATGAGCAGCCCTCCACATGAGCTTCCCCCCTCTCCCCCCCCCCCCGCCCCCCCCACCCTCCCCCCCCCCCGCCCCCCCCACCCTCCCTCCCCCCCGCCCCCCCCACCCTCCCTCCCTCCCCCCCTCCCCCCCGGGCCCCGGTCCGGAGGAGGGGGTCCCCGGGAGGGGGCCGGGGCCGACCCCGTCCGGAGGAGGGGGTCCCGGGGAGGGGGAGAGGCTGGAGGGGGGAAGTCCCCCCCCCCCCCCCGCCCCCCCCCCCCGGCCCCCCCCCCCCGGAGGGGGCCCCCCCCGACCCCCCCCCCGGGACCCCCTCCTCCGGAGGGGGCCCTTCCTAACCCCCACCCCCCCCCCCCCAGAGCCCCCTCCTAATGAGGGGGCCCTTCCTCACCCCCCTCCCAACCCCCCAGGACCCTCCCTGCCCCCCAGCCCGACCCCCCAGTGTGATGTCGGGAAAGCCGGAGCCCCGGCAGTGTCGGCCCGTGTGTTGCACTGCAATGGGGGGACCCGCAGAGCGGCTCCTGCCCCGTGTGGGGACCCCAGCGAGGGCGGGGGGCGCCGGACTCCGGCCCTCTGGGCTTTATTATTCTCCGGCGCCCCGAGCCCCGCGGCTGCGAGGAAAGAAGGAGAGCGGGAATGGGGAACGAGAACAGGGGAGCAGAGCGGCAGCCGAGGGGAAGGGGACAAGGACAGGGGGCAGGGGGAGAGAGGTCGGGGTGTGCGGGGCAGTCGGGGAGGGGCTGGGGGGAAGGCAGGGTGGAGGAAGGAAAGGAAGGATTGAAGGCAGGTTTGGGGAAGGAGGCCGAACGTGTGGAGGGGGGAAGGGGAGCAGGGAAAGGGGGCGCGGGGGAGCCCGGCTGGGGAAGGAAGGAAGAGGGACAGGATGGAGGAACAGGGTAGGGGTGAGTAGGGGAATAGAGAGGGAGGAAAGGGAAAGGGGTGTAGGGGGGACCGCCCGGGAGGGAGGGAGGGGAGGGCTAGGGGGGAGAGGGAGGGGGGGGTTTGGGGGGGGAGGGTGTAGGGGGTGGGGGGGGGGAGGAAGGGAGGGTAGACAGGAGAGGTATAGAGAAAAAGAAACACAAAAGAAAACAAACACAGAAGAAAAGAAATATAGAGAAGAAGAGATAAAGGGGCCCGGCCGGCCGCAACCTCCCGCTCCGAGCGCCGAGCAGCAAATAGCTCTGCCCGGCCCTCCCCGCGGGTTAAATCCCCCCGGCCCCGCCCCGCGCAGGCGCGCTGGGGCCCCGCGCACCTGTGCGCGCACCTGTGCTGGCCCCGCCCCGGCCCCGCCCCCCGCCCGTAAATGGCGGCGGATCCGCGCCCGCCTCACGTTCTGCGGGGGATGCTCGGCCCGGGCTGCGGCGGGACCGGCGCTCGGAGCGCCGTGCGGAGATCGGATCGGCGCTGCTCCCGGCGCTGTGCGGCGTCCGACGGGCTCAGGTGGGACCGGGACTGGGATCCGGGCCCGGGGATTTGGGTCCCGGTCCCGCCGGTGTCTGCTGTGGGAGCCGGGCAGAGCCGCTCCTTCCTCGGCGGGCGGGGTGGGGGTGCCGGGGCCGGAGGATCGAGGCGGGATCGGGGCTGGGATCGGGACCGGTGTCGCCGCGGGCGGGAGGAGCCGCTCCGGCTGCGCCCGGTGCGGGGCTGGAGGAGCCCGGAGCCCCCGAAGGGTAGAGAGCGCCTCCGGTCCTTGGCTCCGCAGGGCGGGAGCTGCCGTGCCCGGCCCGCGGCTCGCAGCGTGCCCAACGCACGGCCCGGCACGGGCACCGGGGCACCGGACAGCGCTGGCACGGACACGGCTGAAGGGCTGCCCGTGGCTCCTCGGCCGGGGGCTGCTCCCCACAGGCACGCAGGGATGCTTCAGCCCGGACAGACGGCACCGACAGCCCAGAGGGACCCCAGGGAACGGCTGGCATCACCTGGGAATGGAGGCGCGGCCATTTGCAGAGGGGCTCTGACAGCAATCCCTGTTTCTGATCTCCCCCAGCTCCCACACAGCTGCCAGGTATGTCCAAGCCACCCCAAATCTCCTCCCTCTTTTCCAGCCTGAGGCCATCATCCACCAGCAGCGTTTGTGATTTATTAAAAAAATATGGATATTGATCTAGTACCTATATCTAACTGTGACGGACAAAACTCTCTAACAGTTTAAAGTTAGCAAGTGCGTGTTTATTCGACGCCGGGCAGCGTGCGGGATTGCTCCCAAATACACACCGCCCCTTCCAGGTGATTACAGAGTCTTTTTATCCATACAAGTATTGAATACCCGAAATACAAATACATATTCATAATTTTGGTACATCCCATTCCCTGCTTCGTATGCTAATCACTCCAAAAGCTATTAAGCATGCGTAGTTTGTCCCTTGAAATGGGTCGGTGGTCCCTTTCATGGGGAGGGGTCCCAAAATGAGGAAGTAAATGAAGTCTTCCTCCTTCTGACCTTTCTACCTTTTCAATGCAAGTATGACAAATGAACTCTTGGTAGAACTCCCATTCCTTGTCTTCAATTGGTTTCAGAACAGAGGAGGCCCACAATTGTCTTATGTTCCTAAAAGCTATTTATCTGTTTCTATATTCTTCATTATAAACCCAGCTAACTAAACATTGTGCTGACAAGCAATTAATTATTAGTTAACTACTAACTCCTAACTTCATCAAGGCCTACTCATTTATTATTCTTATTTTAATTAATTCTAGTAAGACTTATTTCTCTTAGCTCCTCAAAATCTCTAAATGCCTTAAAGTTTACATTTCATTTGAGCCAAGGCAATCTTCCTTCACAGATACTAAATGCCAAGCCATAGCCTCTGAGATGCCTTAAAATCAGAGGTTTGAGTGGGATGATGTCTGGAGATTTCCAGGGAGCCAGCTGGAGGTGCAGAAGTGATGGAAAACTCTCACAGGTGGGTCCCACTGGAGGTGTGCTGCAGGCAGGGATGTGCATCCCTTTCCTGAGGGAAAAGGCCGTGCAGAGGCTGCTGCTGAGGCTCTGAAAGGAGCGGAGCTTCTGCAGGAGAGATGTTCTGCCTCAGCAGAGGCCGGGAGCGCACCCAGCCACCGCCTTGTCCTGCTTTAAAACATCAGCTGGAGCCTGAGCTCCGGGGGGTGAAATCAGCTGAATTCCAGGGAACTCTGTCAAGTGACCCCAGAGACATCCCTGGGGCTGGGGGATGAGGGTTTTAAATAGCAAGTTCTATAGAATAGAGACCTGTCCTTGTCCTGATCCCACTGAGCTTCCCTGGAACCTCTGCTGGTTCCTGACACAGCTGGTGCTAAAGTGGCAGCTCTGCATGGGAATTTCCACTCTCCACGAGGCACTGTCAGGTTATTCCAGCAGGAATTCAGTAGAGAACCTGGGGCTGTGGGTATAATTCATCTGAACTAGCAAAGCTGATACTGAACCCCAAATCCCGGCACCACGCAGAGAACAATCTTTGTGCAAAATCCCCTGGGTGGGGAAGTTTCAGCAGCCAAACGTAAGGAATGATCTAAATCCCAGCAGCCAGCATCCCCCAGAGGGACAATCCAAGTGCCAGGGTGGGAGCCCTTGTCCTTCCCCTGCTGCTGGTGGGACAAATTCCCTTGGCACAGGTGGTGGGGTGGGAGCTGAGAGCAGGAGGGGCGGGAGCAGGGATGGGAGATGAGGCTGCTGGAATGTCACCTGGATCAGCTGAACACGTTCTGTGCCTGCAGCAGCCAGGAGCCAAAGCAGATCCCTCCTGGCTGGGCTGGATGGGAGATGAGGCAGCTGGAATGTCACCTGGATCAGCTGAACACGTTCTGTGCCTGCAGCAGCCAGGAGCCAAAGCAGATCCCTCCTGGCTGGGCTGGAGGGCAGCTGCTGCATCTGCTCTGGGGCAAAACTCCCTGCCCCTGCCAGGAGCGCTGACTCTGCTTTTCCTCCAGCTCCTGAGCAGTGTCAGGGCCACAGGGAGGGAGTTCAATCCCAAAAAATCCCCACAGCCCATGGAGTGAATGATCCCAGCAGAGAAATGCAGCATTAAAATAAAAAACTTAAGAGCTCTATCAAAAAGGCTACGACAACAATGTAATGGGATTCCCAGGAACCTTCTGGTTTGCTCTCGGAATGCTCTTGGTTCTCTTTCATGTGTTTTTAGTCCCACAACGGGCAGCTTGTAGAATTTATTCTGGGACCTAGAGGTTGAGCAGGGTGGGCTCTGGATTGACCTTTGCCTCTGGTGCCACTTTGTGCGAACACAACTTGGCCAGGCTGGGTGAACTCATGGCCTCAGCTTTCCCCTCCAAAATGTCCCTCACTTATTTCCCTGCGGGTGAGCTGGGATTTGGCCCCAGACTGTCACTCCTCACCTCCCCGTGCCCGCACAGTGTCCGTTCTGTTCCCCACAGAGCCCTGGGGACACCAGGGGGTCCCTTTGCCTTCTCCCGCCCCTTTCCAGCCCGAGGCTCCTCTGCCCTTGTCCCACACAGCACAGGGGCACAAAAGGGGAAAGGCTCCAGAAAACATTTCTGCAATTAACCAGCAATTATTTCAATTCCCCAGTGAGAAGAACATGAACTCACAGCCACGGAGGCCTGACGGGTTCCTGCAGTGAGAGCTCAGCGCTTGTCTGCAGAGGTGAGTGCAGCATCTGAAAGGAAAAAAACACGGGGAAAATGTGATTTATTTTGCTTCAAAGTTATTTCAAGTTCTTAAAGCCCAACCAACTTTTGCTCTTGATTTTGGTCGGGTGAAACAGGAGCAGTGGGCAGAGGTCGTGCCATTGATGCGGACGTGCCTGATGCTTTCTAGGGCAGAAAAAGTAGATCAAACTCACCTTATGCCAAGCAGTTATTAAAAAAGATTTATAGCTCTTTAAACATAGCACCCTTTAATTACCATAATGTTTCTTACATAATTTTAACTAATTCTCAGTGTATTTTATAAAACTTAAAATAACACCTCCTCCCCATAAAACAGACTCATCAACCATTAGACAAAAAGCCCTAGTGCCAGTCTCATGCTTGCACATCTAACAGGAGACCCTCCCCATAACCAAACAAAAAATCAAAATAACGTACCAAAAGTAGTCCTTACTAACATTAAAAATACAACTCAACTGTATCCAAAAATACCTCACCTTTATTTCCACCAAACACCAAATACTCTTCAAATTCTAAACAACAAAAACCATCAAAACATACTTCAAATATAGAAAAGCCTAACCATATAAATATTTGTCAAAGCCCACAAAAACTATAAAACAATCTAATCAATATCCTGCATTAAAAAAAAACCCACTATACAAATTAGTACCATTTGAAATGTAACACAAATAAAAATATTTTCCTAAGAAACATGTCTCCCAATAAGTAAAACCACCCTGTAAAGATATAAGTAATAATCATAACTCAACAAGCTAAAATTTCTTCAAAACCAAAAGACTTAAAAAACCTTCAATATTTGTAAGTAATAACATTCAATATGTTAAGTATTATTAAAATCAAACAAAATTAAGTGTCAATACATTTAAACAAATACATTTTCTTTTTATCAATTAAAATTAAGTTTATTATTCCTTACTATCAAAATTCATTCAGTCTAAATTTAAATGTTATTTAATATAACTTATCCTAAATTTTATTAAAAATAATTTCTCTAAACTATACAGTATATGGTCAATTTTCTTAAAAAAATAAAACACCTCCAATTAAAACAACTAAAATAAAACACTAACAAACACCTATTCAGAAGTAAAAAAAATACAGTGTATTATATCATCAATTTCATCAAAAATTCTGTACTTCATTACAATTTCTACTCTTATCTTTTATAAGCAACACCAAAAAATAGCAATTACTATTCATATCATGCTGTTTAAAAATTTTACTCTATTTCCTTAATTTATAAATATTTTTTAAAAGTTATCCTAACTTCTTCAAACACTTACTACTAATATAATTTATCTCTTTATATAATGATCTAAAAACACATAAAATTTCTAATTCCTACTTTTTTATTCTCAACTTATACAGCGCTTAAACCAAGTTAACTCTCTAACTAATCTCTACACTAACTCTATAATTTAACTTAATGTTATCTCATAATTCTAAATATTTTTCAAGATTAAAAAGGTATTTCATTAAAAACCTCCTCCAAACTGTTAATCATATCACTTTCCTCAGTTATTATTACAAAATCACTTGAATACAAAATCCAACTACAACATTAATTTCTTTTTCTAAGTTTCACACTAAGTAATGACTCTCTCATACATTTCCTCCACCTTCACACTCTCAATATCCAAATCCAAACTCACAATCCTGTCCATAACCACTTTCAAATCTCTAAAAAGAAGTTTACTATATTCAAAGCATATCTATTCTAAAAAACTTCTAAAAAAATCCAGTTATTAAATAATGTAATTAATCTTTAATCCTAACATTTTTACTCTTAACTACTACTTTTAAAAACATTATATAAAAATATATTAAATAACATTCACCAATTAAAATTTAAACTATAACCTAACCCTAACTCTACCTAAATAAAATAATTAACAACAAACCCAAATATTTTCTACGTCAAAAATAAATTCAAATAATTTTAACTTAACAATTTAACTTTAACAATATAACAAATAAACTTATTTTTAAAATAAACTTAAAAAATCATTATCCACACATAATGATTTAACTTACCACTAATTTAATATTTATCAACTGTTATAAACTCTAAAAGTATGTACAATCTTTTAATACTTACTAATTATATAATTTCACCTATGTTACTAATTATAGATATTATCTAAGTAATTCCTAATTATTATCAATTTCTTCTTTACTACATACATTATTTTACTCTTATATTTCTTCATAATTAAAAATGAAAAATTATAACAACTTATATCATTATTTCTCATATCAAAACATAAAGTTTACTTATATCTCAACAAGTACAAAAACCCAAGTAAGTTTCAATAAGAAACATAAAATCAGATCACACAAAAAACACACTCACCACTCCACAAATAAAACACCAACATAAATACAAGGATAAATTACACTATGGAAATACAGACGCAGATTACACAAGAATTGCAACTTACACCTGTGTACTACACCCACCAAAATATATAAACTTTAAGTTTCTTTATAAATATAAAAATCAATGTTATAAAAATCTTACTTAGTAACTTACAAATTATGAAATTCTTTCAAATATTTTACTTCTACTCTACTTTATTTACTTTTAATTATGTCACTTTACAAATTAACCAACCTAAAACAAATGCTTAAGTAACTTTAACTAAAGTTTCAAGTTTAAATACTTTGTATTTATCTAGCACTACTCAAAAAAATCCATTCTTTACTTACTTACTTAAGATACCAATAAAAACCATTACAAATAGTCCATATAATTAAAAAGCCCTTACATTATTAACTCTTAATATTAAAATAGCTACCAATTTAAAACAAAAAAGTCATTTATCCATCAATAGTAATCAAAATATAAAAGTAATTTTAAGCCTTGAAACTTAAAATCAAAATGGTAGCATCAGTTTTTATACCACCTATTACATCAACAACACTAAAACAATTAAATCAATTAAAATATTATCTAAATAAACAATCTAATTCGACATCCCTTACCCTAAATAACTTTTAAACAAATATAAAACTATTAAATATGCAGTTTTACAAAAAAACCAACAAAAAAATTTATTTTATTAACATACAAATATAAATATAAAAATTTAATAAAATGTATACATTTATCTAAAACACCAAATCTACTTATTAAAGTGTACAACTTTAAGAAATATCAGAAATAAGAATACCTAATAAAACATAACAATAAATAAAATTTAACACCATAATTAAAAAATCTTATAACAAAAGTATACATTTTAATTATATTATTACAATAATAATAATAATACTAATGATAACACCTTCTTTATGTTAATACATGCAACAAATGCTTAAAAAATCCCCTAATAAATTTTTTTACTCATACAGAGAGAAGGGGAACACATGGGAATGGGAAAACCAGAAACTCCCACAGACACTGAAAGATTTGATCTGCAGCCTCAGGAGAAGCTGGGATTGATGTACCAATACAAGACACGGGCATTACGCAGGAAAAGAATAAAATAAAATAAAATAACTTCTGTTTCTGTGGCTGTCAGTAGGAGCCTGCCCCGAGTGAGTGAGAGAGAAACTGTGTGGGCACGATGGGGAAGGGTTTGCAGGGCAGGGCTGGGGCTGTGTGCGCTACACTGAGAGCTGACAAGTTCCAACAGAAGGCATTGAACAAAAGTACCCTCAGTGCGGCAGAACTGAGCAGAGGTGCTGGGTTCCAAAAGCCAAATAAACCCCGGGGTTAGAAAGTTCTGGCCTGCCTTGGAACACAGAACTTGTGGCTGCTCCTGAGCCGCAGCAGCTGCTCGCTCTGCAAACCCTCACGCTCCCAGGCGGGTGTTCACCTGAGCACTGAGTGCTCCCGGCCCAAGAGCAGTCCCATCCCTTCCTTGCTAACAGCACAGGGAGAAAAAATGAAAAGAGATCACTCTGGCCAGCAGGGCTCTCTCTCTCTGCGTGGGTTAGGGGCAGGGCCCTGCAGGGAGCAGGGCGCTCCAGCACCGACAGCCCGAATCCAGAGCAGATCCACGGGGGAGCAGCGGGCTGGGGACAGCTGGGGACAGCAATGAGCAGAGCCCATCAGCCTCCCTCTGGGGCTGGGACTGCATTTAGCACACAGCTCATACCAGCTGTGGGACTTACACACCTCAGACTCCTTACCACAAACCAGTTCTGATCTAGCTCTCAGGGTGACCTGCACCTCCTCCCCAAAAACCACAGGAATTAGAATTTCCTGCTGGTTTTACAACTTCATGGCGGCAGCTTTGCAAATGCAAATCCCAGCAGGTCTCTGCTTTCCAGAGCACCCATCCTCAGCCATCTCCACTTCCCTGGAAAACTGCTCCAGCCCCGGGCTGTACCAAGGTGAGCACAAGTCTGGAGAGGTCAGAACCCTCACCTGGACTGCTGCACTCGGAGCGAGATCCAGCTACAAATGGAATTCCAGAAACGGCCTCCAAAATGTTCCATAATCACATTTTTAAATGGCTCCACAGGGAAACAGGTCCAGTGCCAGAGCAGCACCCGCACGAGTCCTTGTGCCAGCCCTGGCTCCCTGAAAAACACAATAAACCAACATCACACAGGCCTTCTTTGCAGAATTCCTGATCCAAACTTCACCTGTCCTGCCCAGCACTGAAGGAAATCTGACACGGTATTCACAGGTAACCTTTGCTGAGAGCAGCCATCACCCCAGTCCTCCAGCCTGGGCAAGGTTTTGCAGTGAATGGACCCAACTTCTAACCCTGAACCTAAATTTCTGTCAGCTTTTGTTAGAAAGATACTGGAGAGAAAATCATACAACAGATTTAAAACACTGCACAAGGAATAACCGGCCCAGACAAAACCAAACCAGCCCATCTCTGCTCCACCCCATTTCTCCCAGTTTTGGGAGAAATACTGATATAGTTTGTAAATATTCCCCTTCCCTGCTGCACTGTCCTTCACTGCACGTCCCTGGAGAGGATTTACTCCATTTTCTGTGCCCAGCAGCAGCTCTGCAGCCCAAATCCCACTCCTCGCAGACACAGCCTGAGCAGAGCTCAGGCAGTGTTCCCAGAAGCGGATGCAATTCCGAGTTCCCTGGATTGCTCACGGGGCACTCACAGCAATCTCCCCTCAGCCCAGACTCTCTGTGCTCAGAGGGAAGCACAGCCCAATGGGACACAGCTCTGGCACCACATTCCCCTTGTTCCTGCTGGCCTGGAAAGCCACAGATAAACCCAGTCCCTCCGACCTTGCACCCTGAACCCCAGGAGAGCCAGAGCTGAACCCAGATCCCGGCGCCCTGCACGGCTGCGCTGACACCAGCACAGGCTGAGCACTGCCCAGCACCCTTCCTCATTTTCCTCCCTCTGCTCCCAAATCCTGCCAGCCCTGCCCTGCAGTTCCTGCCCCAGCCCCAGCAGAGGCTGGCACCCAGCCCTGCAGCAGCTGGCAGAGCTGGGAATGCACCAAGAGCTCGGCTCCCCGGGCTCCCAGCCCCAGACCAGTCCTTGGGTGCCCGAACAATGCCCAGCCTGCCCCTCTGGGCACAGCCAAACACCACAACTCCGTCAGCCCCAAGGAACTCTGGCATTTGCCTCTTCCCTGCTGCCCTTTCCCAGCACACAGGGGTAGGGCTGGGCTGTCAGAAATGGCATTCCCGAGGCACTTAATCCCAGCAGAGAGGAAAAGGGGAACCCTGCGTCCCTCTGACTTACCCCACAGCATGGACAGGACCAGGAGCCCTCCAGTGCACACCCCTGGTGCTGAAGCCTCTTGGCTCTGGCTGCTTAAACACTGAAGCTTCTGGCAAAGATGGGAGGAGCTCAATGATTTCTCCTGTCCTGAAAGAGAGGAGGAAAAGAACATTAAGTCCACTGTGGAAGCCAAAGGATCCAGGCTTTCACTCTTCTGCTGGGATTGCTCACTATGGGGTTTTATCCATGAGAGGGGACACCAATTCAAATATAAAAGTTTCCTTTTCCTGCATTTTTATTCCTAACTATTTCATTAAAAGGAAGCTCATTTTTCTTACTGCATTCTTAGCCTAATTGTAACAGAACCATTTTTATCCCAGGCCCCACTTGTCAGTCATTCAATCCTTTACCACGGGACTTTATACAAAGGAAGGGACACCTGCGTGCTCTGTCACAAGAAATCCCAAAGACAAACGTGTCCAAAACCTCACAGAGAAAGGTTTCAAGGCACTCCAGTGCACAGACAGCTGCTCATGCCTTGGCAGACCACAGCAATTCTGTCACATCCACCTGAGCTGTGCAGGCGAGGCAAAGGCTGCCCTTCCTCCCAGGGAACACTGTCTGAGACCACAGAGAGCCATCCTGGGTGAAAGGAATGAAATGAAAATGTTTTCTGGCAGAAAATGAGTGTCTGTAATCAGAACCTCTGGACAGATTTAGTAACACCACTTTCAGATGATAAATACAGGCCATGCCCATCCTTCCAGGCCAGGTGAAACCAGGAAGGAGAACTACAGGAAAAGCAGGAAGACAGAGCCCCTTATTTGGATATATATAGAATGCCCCTGGTTTGGTGGTTTGCCTTTGCTCCTAAGCTTTGGCTTCACCCCCTCTCCAGAGGAGCAGGGAATTCCTCCAGGGTGAGGGGGAGTCTGGTCCCACTCCAGGATGGGTCCAGTAAAGGAGGGAAGTTGTTCAGAGTAAGTGACCAGTGTTTTTGTTACACACAAAAATCAAACCAAACAAACACTGAATTGGACTACACCGAGCTGCAACACAAAGTGTTCACAGCAGACAGAGGCCAGAGGAGCACACAGCACCCAGAAGTACCATTTCACTTGGTTCTTCTGCTCACATGCATTTTAATTCTGCTTCGCTTCACAGCTGCTACTCTGCCAAGGCCATTTCCATTTTCAGAAGCCTGTGCCACGTGTAGCCGAGGCTTAAACATCACAGAATCTATGTGCACTTCAGTGATCTTACACTAAGTACCTCAGAAACCAAAAGAATAAATCCAAGACTTCAGCTGGGTTAAAAATACCAGAACAACAAATAAGCAAACAAAAACCCAAACCCACCTTTCCACTAGTTTTAAAAACAGAAGTCTTTAAAACCAGCATAAAATGAATGTAACATTTGGATCCAAGCAGAGGTACAATTTAAATGCCAGTATTCTGGAACTGCTAATAACTCTGCAAGTATTTAGATGGGTGGATGTGTTACTGGATGGAGAGAATATAATGCAAGAAAGAGATTAGCTGTGTTTAGGATGGGAAGAAGATGATTAAAAAATACCTCTTGTCTGGACGCTCATGCCATCTTCTTCTCTTGACCTCAGGATGGCTGCCAAAAATAGAGAGTGCTGTGTGAGCACCATGTGTAGTTTGGAGAGCTTGACTACGCTCTAAGTGAGGATTCTTTCATGTATAGTAACTGGATGGCAACGTTCAGGACCTTCAGAAATGTTTCATCTCTGTAACGGTACCTTTGGGAGAAGGATCACAGAGAAGTCAGACTGTAACCAAACCCAAGAAAACCCACTTGAAGCTACAAGTTGAGTAAGAAATGAGAACTTGGCAAAGAAGATGAACTTGGTGAAACCAAACCAAATTCAAATGAAAGCACTTACTTGAGCCCTGTCTTCACAAGGTCACACCAGTCATCTGGGTCCACTTCTTCAACCACACACTGTGTGCAGCAAGTAAAAACAGGTGTTGGTTTACATTTGGCACACGGAGCTTCTACAGCAATTTTTGTTCAAGGGACACACTAAGAACACGCAAGCCAAACGCTCACGTGGGATGATCTGAGGGTAACAGGGAAAAAAGCTCTTGGATACAACAATCCTAATTCCTGGCTCAAAAGAAACTTGTTGGTCTGGGAGCAGGGGCTGTATGGAATCAAAAAGCAAGCTGGGCTGTAGGTTCCAAAAACCCAGCAGCTCAATACTCTTCAAACTCCTCAAGTGCAAAAGGATTTGCAACTTGACAAGTCAAAGCGAGAGCCTGGAGCAGACTGACAGCTGCACATCCCAACAGTCCTGGGAATGCAGGTGCCAACCTCGCCAGGCTGGAAACACCCTCAGGATGGGATGGACCCTGTGAGGTGGCCCCAGGGCCTGCAGAGTCAGCCAGGTCCTACAAGGGAGTCTCAGCAAAAGCCATGAGAGCGCAAAGGCATTCACTGCCCTGAGACCTTCAGTGTTGCGTGTCACAGGGATCCGTGTTCACTGAACTCAAACCAAGGCAACAGTATACAGAGGGAGTGACCAAGTAGTGTTCTTCAAGATCAAAGTCTGATTTCTATTCATGATCAACCAAACTTTAGCCCCAGACTTCAGATGGCATGGCAGATGGGTCTTGGCACAAGTATCTCTATCAGCCTCTTTTAAAGAAGAAGGTGATAACTTTAATTTTAAAAATTAAATTAATTAATTTATAATAATTTAATTAATTAATTTTAACCTAATTAAAAAAAAAAAATCCACTGGTAACCTTTGATTTCTTACTCCTAAATACCTCCAACTCCTACATTCAAAGGGGATTCGTACCAGAAAGCCATCATCAAGAACATAAAACTGCCTCGTATAAAGGATTCTCAGGACTCGGAAAAAGCTATGAAAAATCCATGGAAACCAGAATCCATAAAACAGGAAATCGAGTCCAATCTGTATTTACAAAATCTACAACTGCCCAATCACACATATGCATACAGTCCCTCTGTGGCAAAGCAGATAAGCAGTCTCACCAATAATTCCTCTAGCCTCAGCAGCATGGACCTCTCCACTTCTTGCTTGCCTTCATCTTTACTGCTGCTGTACATGGCAACTAACCCCTTTATGCAGGCTGAGAAGAGATGTCTCCTCCAGGAATGCAGCTCCTCAGAGTTTTTAAGCACCGTGGATATGGCATCTGCCACGGCCCAGCTGCAGAGAGATAGCTGTTGATTTTCTTATTAACATTTTAACTTGGTTTTGTATATCTTAAAGATGTCTTGCTGCCAAAGTGCAAAGCAACAGATTCTCGGAGGAGAGGATGCTGTTAATGCTCCCATTCCTATCACACTGATTCCCAGGACAAACTGAGCCCTGGGGGAGGCACACACACACACACGCTGCCCACCTCTCTTCATTCCCTGCTCTCTCCGGAGCAGCAGGAAGGCAGTCCATCAGGTTGTGCAGCCCTTTACTTCCCGGAGGTGGCAACAGCTTGGAAAGAATTTGCAGTTTCACAGTGGCCTCAGGGTCCTGAATCGCGGCACCGAGCTCCTTCCACAGGGCTTTCCTCAGGACAGGTGTGACAGCCGAGACAGCTGTGGGGAGAGCAGAAGGCACAGGTTCCTCCACCTGCAGCTGTTAACACACTAAACCTAATTTTTTTTCTAATCCAGCCCCAGACCACTCAATGTCTAGGAAATGATGCTACAGCAGCTGCTAATCTGTTACAGAGAAGTGCTACACAGAGGCTCACTTCTTTACCCATCCTCTACTTCCCAGGGTGCTGACAAGGCCTTATCGCTGCTTGACCTTGTAGGCAGAGCTACAGCCCCATTCAGCCTGTTCCTGTCAGAACAACTGACATTTGGTTACAAAACAACAAAACAGTTATCCCTACCTCAATAAACCCATAATGCCTCAACCCATTCCCAGGAGGGCGGCAGGAGGGGCGGGCGCAGCCCCGTTCTGACGCCGGTCGGCCCCGGGCCGTGAGCGCTGCGACCGCGCCTCCGCCGCCCGCCGCCACCGGCCCCGCCGGGCCGCCCTCGCCGCTGCCATCCTTCCCCGGCGCCGCCGCGGAGCCGCCTTCACCGCTCCCCTCTACTCACACACACCGCCCCGCTCGCCGCTCGCTGCCGCCCGTGCCCCTCCCGCCCCGTCTCGGTGGTTTTGGGGCCGCTCTGGCCCCTCCCGCCCCGTCTCGGTGGTTTTGGGGCCGCTCTGGCCCCTCCCGCCCCGTCTCGGTGGTTTTGGGGCCGCTCTGGCCCCTCCCGCCCCGTCTCGGTGGTTTTGGGGCCGCTCTGGCCCCTCCCGCCCCGTCTCGGTGGGTTTCGGCCGGGCGCTGGCTGGGGGCTGCAGTACCGCTCTGTGTCCACAAGGCGGCAGCACCGCCACCCGCCACAGCCGGGGGCCGCCGCTCGCCCGGAGGGGAGGCGGGGGGAAAAGAGCGGCGGCGATCGATCCCCTTGGGAAAAAATCCTCCGAAATAAATGTCCCAAAAAATCCCGCACAGAAACTAAAAGACCCTGCCTCGAACCAAATAACGCCGCCGCGCCCCAAAAGCCCTTTCTTTTTAGCCTATGTATATTTCTACGTTGGTTTTGTTTATTTCTAGCTGTACAGCAGGGAGGCGGTGGGAACGCACGGGAGGGGACGGGACGGGCGCCCAGCGCGGCAGAGGCAGGGGCCGCGCCCAGGATGGCGGCCGCTGCAGGAGATGGGCAGAGAGAGGCGAATCTGCCGGTGCCGGTCGGCGCCTGCTCGAACTCCGACCGCCCGCGGAGCCGCCGAGCCCACAGCCCGTGTGCGCGGCACGCGAGTCCGCGACAGGTCACTGCCGAGATAGCGGCCGCGGGCGGCGGGCTGCAGTATCGCTCTGTGTCCACAAGGCGGCAGCACTTCTCAAGCGAGTCCGCGACAAGCCACTCCCAAGATGGCGGCCCGAGGGGACCTTGATGGAAACAGGCGATTTGCCGATGCCTGTCGGCCCTCGCCAAAAACCCGCACGCTCGCGGTGCTGCTGACCCCACAGCCCGTGTGCACGGCACCGGAACCGCCGCGGAAAAGCCCGTCGGGGAGCGCCGGCGTTGGGGACAATTCAGGCAGTGTAGAAAACAGACACGGCTCCTCGACCTTCCCGTCCTCTTTTTCGCGCCCTCTTGAGAAGGTCAAGCGAGTCCACAACACGCCACTCCCAAGATGGCGGCCGCGGGCTGCGGGCTGCAGTACCGCTCTGTGTCCACAAGGCGGCAGCACTGCCGCCCGCCCCTCCGGAACGTCCTCGGCAGCAAATGCCCCAAAACATCCCGCGCGGAAAAGAACGCCAACAAAAAACCCCTGCCTCTAACCCCATAAGAACCAAAAGGAAAAACCTTTTCTTTCAAACTGCATCTCAATATATTTTATTTTTATATTTTACATATTTATATTCACATTCGGATTTATAATGCATATTGATGTATAATTGCAATTTTAATCATTTCTTACATTTATTCCTATTATATTTTATTACAATTTACATTTTTATACATTGCTTAATACATTACTTACATATTTCTATAGTTAGATTTCTATTTCTAAAAGGTTTATATTGCTTAAAATAAACCCCTGCCTCTATCCAAGTAAAAATCTTTTAAAAACCCCTTATCTTTCAAACTGCGTTTAAATTTATCTCTTTTTCACATCTATATTCAAATTTACACTTAAAATGTAGATTGATGTATGGTGTTATTTATATTCTATCTATTCCGAATACTAATTTTCATTTCTATTTTATATTTTCATATATCTCTGTATACATTGAATATATATTTCTATACTTAGAATGATATCAAAAGAAAAGGTATATTCATTTTTCTTCCATTAAAACCCTGCCTCAAACCAAATAAAAAACCAAAAAAAGCCCTTTCTTTAAACGATACTTGAATATTTATATGTTTTTTTCATCATTATAGTCACATTTGCATTTCTACTTTATAGTGATGTATTTATAAATATATATCATATATATATTAAGGTAGCAAGATAGACAAATTATTATTTATATTATACTTCATAGATACTGCTAATATTTTTTTTTACTTACCTTTGAATTTTTTATATAGATCTTAAGGTATTTAGGATGTATTTCTATACATAGATTTCTAATTTTATTTTATTTATATTTATAGATTTTATAAAAAAAACCCCTACATACTACCAAATACAAAATAAAAATCCCCTTTATTTTAAACTATATTTAAATATTTCTATCTTTCTATTTTTGATTTTTACAAGTTGTTATATATTCGATTACAATATATTGAGGTACCATATTTCGATATATAGTATTTAGGACATAGAATGTGTTAAAATAGGACATACACAGTAAAATATGCATTATGTACTGTATTGATTTCTATTATTTAGTAATTTTTATATTTATATATCCACATGTATTAATTATACATCTCAATATGGATATTTTATATGGATTTTATTTATATTTATAATCTATATTTATATGTATTTATATAAACAAAATTCTGTATATCAAACAATATACTATCTAATAGTAAAGGATAACATTATTTATGTTACATGTTTTATTTATATGTTTTCCGTTTATATTTAAAATTGAAGTTTTATATTCCCATTTTCATATTTATGCATTTGTTTTGTTTCATTAGAGTTACAGTTAGAACTTTGCAGTTATAATCCAATTCCTAAAAATAAAATGCCAAAACAAACAGCATCGAATAACCAAGAATACCATCCAAAAAATTCAGAAAGGCTCCACCAGCCAACCAACTATCAGCAAAAAAAACCCCACTACACTCCTTTCACTAAGAGTTCTTATCACATAACAAAAATGGAACATTAATTTAAAAAAAAACACCTATAAAAACCCACATAAAAAAAAAAAACACTAAAAAGAAAAAAACTCTCCAACTAACCTCTTATACTCCAAACCATACAACAGATCCCAAATGTTTCTAAAAAAAACCAAACAATACCCTACCACTACACTAACTCATCAAGAGAACCCAATACTCTATAAAATTAACTAAACTCCCCCCAAATAACTACAGATATAAAAAAAATCAAAACCATGAAGAAACAAAAAACTCACCACCCAAATAAAATAACTACCTATAAAGATCCACCATAGAAATACCCATGTTCCCAAAAATCAAACTAATAAAAAACAACAAATACATCCAAGTACAAAAAAAATTATATTCACAACAACAAAATAATAATTCCTAACTCAAGGAACTCAGAATGCCTCAAACCATCAAAACACAAATACCACCTAGAAATAAACATGTCACCAAAAGAGAAAAGTAACCATAAATAACAACTCCCAAATTGTCTGAGACAATAAAACACACAAAGCAATCAAACAAGACAAACAAATAAAACCCCTACAACATAATAAACAAGAATGCAATTATCAATATTAAAAAAACCTCAATAATTAACTACAGGACACTACCTCAAACCAACCAAAATAAACCACTACATACTCACGCCAATAAAAGCCTCCACAACCGAATTAAAAACCTACCCTCTACTTCATACTATGACCCATAAAAAACATTATAAACCTTTAAAAACACATCCTTCAAAAACATAAGAACCCATCAAAAAGAAATCCAACCACAAGACTCAACCCAAAAAAAACCCTTGTCATGAGCACCTGAAGCAAGAACCGTAAGAAGCAAAAAGCATACCATGGCCCTTCTCCTACACCAACTATGAACAAAAGAAAACCATCCAGTAAGTTCCTCAAAACCACCACAGCAAGGAAGGCTGGAAAACGAGAAGCCACGCTCCCGGCACCGGTCCGTTGGCCAGTTGGTGATGGAGGTGTGAGTACTCCGAGTCGATTCCCTAAAGCACAAAAATGAGAAAGGATGCTTAGAATTGCAGCAGAAACTGAAAGCTGAGTAAAAACAACTGCTTCTGTCCACTGCTCACCTTGGACACTGGGCCTTGACTGCTGCTGTCTGCCTGGACCTCCTAAGAATAAAGACTGCTGTAACAAAGTCACCATTTAGGCTTCCCTTGCAAATGCAAACAATGACTGACCTGCTCATGGCAACACCCTCACCCAGGTTTGGGGCTCTCTGCCACTGATTTGAACTGTCTGCATCTGAAAGAAAGTTCAGACTAGTGTAAAACTGCTGCAGGACAACTTAACAGCACCAAAAATGTTAGGGCAATTAATGAATACAACCTAGAGCCCAACTACACCCTGCATTACCAATTTCAAGTCCCCAGGACTTGTGCTATTACAGGCTAGGCAGCAGGGCAGAGCAGCTCCAGGACAAATACGTGCAGACACCCGTGACAAAGGAGGGGACAGGACAGGGAGCGAGAGCTTTCGACAAGAAGAAAGGACTCAGAGACCCAAAGAACACAGTGTGCACCATAAACAAGTGACAGGACACACACCAGAACTGCTCTGCCCAGCGCACCTCAGCACTGTGATCAAAAGAAACATTTTCCCTTCAGGCAGCCTAAAGGGACACTTCTTGCACATCCCTGCCCCCAGAACTGATTCAAAATGCCCTCCCAGAACGTCGCTTTCATCCCCTCTGTGGGCCTTAGCCCTTGACTTATCTCTTGGGCATATGGGGATGACAATCTATGTTGCGTGCGATTGGAGGCTGCCTCACCTGCTGGGAATGTCCTGTGGTCACCGGGCTGTGGTCCTTTGCTCAGCTAGAATCAAGAACACCAAACATCACTGCATGATCTTATCTGCACAATGGACAAAACCCAGCAATTCTGCTACCCACCATTCTCCTAAGAATGCCTGGTTGCTCAGGCCCCACACTTTGGCCATGCTCAGAGGCTGCCATCGTCATCGCAGGGTCTGCCGGGGTGAAGAAGAGACAAAGTGACACAGCAATGCTGAAAACTTAATGGACCTTGGCTCTCCCTCTCTACCTCGGCGTCTTACCACAACACATGGGCCATTGCAAAAGGCTGCCCGGATGCCATCTTGAAATACAAAATTTCAAGGCTTCATCTCAAGAGGCCTGAAATACTTCCAGAGGTCTCACAAGCGCAGGAAACCCAGTCCATCGGCCAGCTGGTGAGAGGGGCTTGGCATATTCCAAGTGGCTTCCCTAAAGCACACAAACAACAATGGATGCTTACAGCTGCACCAAAAATTGAGACCTGAGCGAGAACAACTGCTTCTGTCCACTGCTCACCTGGCACACTGGGCCTTCACTGCTGCTATCTGCCTGGACCTCCTAAAAATAAAGGCAAAGAACACTGCTGTAACATAGCCACCATTTAAACTTCCCCTGCAAATGCAAACAATGACTGACCTGCTCATGGCAACACCGTCACCCAGGACTGGGGCCCTCTGCCACAGATTTGAACTGTCTGCATCTGAAAGGAACTTAGGACTAGCATCAAATAGCTGCAAGAACACTTAAAACACCCACACATGTTATGGCAATCACCCAATACAATCTAGAGGCAACTACACCCTGCATTACCCATTTCAAGTCCCCAGGACTTGTGTTATTACAGGCTATGCAGCAGGGCAGAGCAGCTCCGGGACAAATATGTGCAGACACCCGTGACACAGGACAGGACATGACAATCGAGTGGACAGGACAGGGAGCGAGAGCTTTCAACAAGAAGAAAGGACTGAGAGACCCAAAGAACACAGAGTGCACCAGAGACAAGTGACAGGACACACACCAGAACTGCTCTGCCCAGCGCACCTCAGCACTGTGATCAAAAGAAACATTTTCCCTTCAGGTGGCCTAAAGGGACACTTCTTGCACATCCCCGCCCCCACAGCTGATTCAAAAGGCCCTCCCACCACCTCACTTTCGTCCCCTCTGTGGGCCTTAGCCCTCGACTTATCTCTTGGGCATCTGGGGATGAAAATCCATGTTGCGTGCGAATGGAGGCTGCCTCACCTGCTGGGAATGTCCTATGGTCACCGGGCTGTGGTCCTTTGCTCAGCTAGAATCAAGAACACCAAACATCACTGCATGATCTTATCTGCACAATGGACAAAACCCAGCAATTCTGCTACCCACCATTCTCCTAAGAATGCCTGGTTGCTCAGGCCCCACACTTTGGCCATGCTCAGAGGCTGCCATCGTCATCGCAGGGTCTGCCGGGGTGAAGAAGAGACAAAGTGACACAGCAATGCTGAAACCTTAATGGACCTTGGCTCCCCCTCTCTACCTCGGCGTCTCACCACAACACATGGGCCATTGCAAAAGGCTGCCCGGATGCCATCTTGAAATACAAAATTTCAAGGCTTCATCTCAAGAGGCCTGAAATACTTCCAGAGGACTCACAAGCGCAGGAAACCCAGTCCATCGGCCAGCTGGTGAGAGGGGCTTGGCATATTCCAAGTGGCTTCCCTAAAGCACACAAACAACAATGGATGCTTACAGTTGCACCAAAAATTGAGACCTGAGCAAGAACAACTGCTTCTGTCCACTGCTCACCTGGCACACTGGGCCTTCACTGCTGCTATCTGCCTGGACCTCCTAAAAATAAAGGCAAAGAACACCACCGTAACACCGTCACCATTTAGACTTCCCCTGCAAATGCAAACAATGACTGACCTGCTCATGGCAACACCCTCAGCCATGACTGGGGCTCTCTGCCACTGATTTGAACTGTCTGCATCTGAAAGAAAGTTCAGACTAGTGTAAAACATCTGCAGGACAACTTAACAGCACCAAAAATGTTAGGGCAATTAATGAATACAACCTAGAGCCCAACTACACCCTGCACTACCAATTTCAAGTCCCCAGGACTTGTGCTATTACAGGCTAGGCAGCAGGGCAGAGCAGCTCCAAGACAAATATGTGCAGACACCCGTGACACAGGACAGGACGTGAAAATCGAGGGGACAGGACAGGGAGCAAGAGCTTTCGACAAGAAGAAAGGACTGAGAGACCCAAAGAACATAGAGTGCACCAGAGACAATTGACAAGACACACACCAGAACTGCTCTGCCCAGCGCACCTCAGCACTGAGAGCAAAACAGACACTTTCCCTTTAGGTGGACTAAGTATACGCTTCTTGGACATCAAAAGCCCTTCTAGAAAGGCCCAACCCAGCACCCCACTTCCATCCCCTCTGTGGGTCATGACCCTCCACTTATCTTGCACACATCTGGGGATGCAAATCCCTGTTGGCTGCAGAAGAAGGGCATCTCCCTGTCTGGTAAGTTATAGCTGTCACCTCTTGGTCTGCCAAGAGAAAGAAAACCAAACATCAGTGCACAGTCTGAACAGCATATCGGCCAAAACCTGATAATTCTGCTACTCACCATCCTCCTCAGAATGCCCGGGTTCTTGGCCTGCACGCTTCGGGCGTGATTGGATTCTGACGCCGTCATTGCAGGGTACCCTAGGTTAAGTGAAGACAAGGCAACATGGCATTGCTGAAACACAAGCGGACTCTCACTCCTCCTCCCTATCTCCCTAACTCACTGCAACAGCTCAGCCATTCCTCTGGGCTACCAGGATGGGACCTTGAAATGCAAAATTGGAAGGTCCATCACAGGGTCCGGCAATGCTTCCAGCGAGATCACAAGTGCATGAAACCTGGTCCTTCAGCCAGTTGGTGACAGAGGTATGTGCACCCTGAGAGGATTCCCTAAAGCACAAAAACAAGAATGAATGCTTAGAGTTGCACCAAACATTGAGACCTGAGCAAGAACAACTGCTTCTGTCCACTGCTCACCTGGCACACTGGGCCTTCACTGCTGCTATCTGCCTGGACCTCCTAAAAATGAAGTCAAAGAACACTGCTGTAACAGTCACCATTCAGGCTTCCCTTGCAAATGCAAACAATGACTGACCTGCTCATGGCAACACCCTCAGCCATGACTGGGGCCTTCTGCCACTGATTTGAACTGTCTGCATCTGAAAGAAAGTTCAGACTAGTGTAAAACTGCTGCAGGACAACTTAACAGCACCAAAAATGTTAGGGCAATTAATGAATACAACCTAGAGCCCAACTACACCCTGCACTACCAATTTCAAGTCCCCAGGACTTGTGCTATTACAGGCTAGGCAGCAGGGCAGAGCAGCTCCAAGACAAATATGTGCAGACACCCGTGACACAGGACAGGACGTGAAAATCGAGGGGACAGGACAGGGAGCGAGAGCTTTCAACAAGAAGAAAGGACTGAGAGACCCAAAGAACACAGAGAGCACCAGAGAGAAGTGACAGGACACACACCAGAACTGCTCTGCCCAGCGCACCTCAGCACTGTGATCAAAAGAAACATTTTCCCTTCAGGCGGCCTAAAGGGACACTTCTTGCACATCCCCGCCCCCACAGCTGATTCAAAAGGCCCTCCCACCACCTCACTTTCGTCCCCTCTGTGGGCCTTAGCCCTCGACTTATCTCTTGGGCATCTGGGGATGAAAATCCATGTTGCGTGCGAATGGAGGCTGCCTCACCTGCTGGGAATGTCCTGTGGTCACCGGGCTGTGGTCCCTTGCCCAGCTACAATCAAGAACACCAAACATCACTGCATGATCTTATCTGCACAATGGACAAAACCCAGCAATTCTGCTACCCACCATTCTCCTAAGAATGCCTGGTTGCTCAGGCCCCACACTTTGGCCATGCTCAGAGGCTGCCACCATCATCGCAGGGTCTGCCTGGGTGAAGAAGAGAGAAGGTGACTCAGCACTGCTGAAACCAAAGTGGACCTTGGCTCCCCCTCTCTACCTCGGCGTCTCACCACAGCTCCTTGGCCATTGCCAAAGGCTACCCGGATGCCATCTTGAAATACAAAATTTCAAGGCTTCATCTCAAGACTCCTGAAATACTTCCAGAGGACGCACAAGCACAGGAAGTCCATCGGCCAGCTGGTGAGAGGGGCTTGGCATACTCCAAGTGGCTTCCCTAAAGCACACAAACAAGAATGGATGCTTACAGTCGCACCAAACATTGAGACCTGAGCAAGAAGAACTGCTTCTGTACACTGCTCACCTGGCACACTGGGCCTTGATTGCTGCTATCTGCCTGGACCTCCTAAAAAAAGGCAAAGAACACTGCTGTAACACAGTCACCATTTAGACTTCCCCTGCAAATGCAAACAATGACTGACCTGCTCATGACAACACCCTCAGCCATGACTGGGGCCTTCTGCCACTGATTTGAACTGTCTGCATCTGAAAGAAAGTTAGGACTAGTGTAAAACAGCTGCAGGACAACTTAACAGCACCAAAAATGTTAGGGCAATTAATGAATACAAACTAGAGCCCAACTACACCCTGCATTACAAATCTCAAGTCCCCAGGACTTGTGCTATTACAGGCTAGGCAGCAGGGCAGAGCAGCTCCAGGAGACAGGACAGGACACCCGTGACACAGGACAGTACGTAACAAACGAGGGGACAGGAGAGGGAGAGAGAGCTTTTGATGAGAAGAAATGACTGAGCGACCCAAAGA